CAGGTGAGATTCCACAACCTCAACCACATAATTCAGAAATACTATACAGTACAAGCAGGTCTGGGCAGGAAGTGATATGGAGGAGTGATATGATTGGATGACAATCAAGGAAGTTAAACATTTAACCTGAGTGTGTTATTATTGTAAATACATAAAGTAAATAAGGGCTAGAAATGGATATAAGAAGGTAAGAAATGGAAGAGCAGGAGAAGAGCTTGTGTTACAAAGTGCTTTTAAATCCAGAGGTTGGTCACAGTGATGCTGAGCAAGGTCAACATCAGCATCCAGACAGAGGACACCACTGCAAGAGGAGGAGGAAGGTTAGAGAAGAATTCAGAGTTTTGTAGTTTCTTTAACACTTAACCAGTTCTTATTTACCTGCGCCTGATGAATTACACTCTATGGTCTCCAGGGAGTCCATGTAGGCCTGTCCCAGCCACTCCTGGTAGGTCTTCCTGTCAGCTACACCCACAAGGCGAACAGTGGAATCCTTAAAAATCAAATCTGTGCCTGTGTAGGCCTTGGAGTCGAACATGGTGAAGTCGGGGTTGTCATCGTTGCCAAAGTATGTCTGCAAGACAAAAAACACACATTACACAATACAAACTTACTGGTACCAATTCTCACTAAACTACTACTGAAATACATGGTACTTGGAGTTTCTGTGAAGTCCTAGGAGAAATCCAAAATATTTTTAGAAATATCTTTATATCTTAATATAAGACAATTTCTTGGAATTTCAGTTTATACTTTAGAATAAGTCTAAATAATTAAACTCTTTTCCACTCCTTTTCAGATTTTACATTACATTTTACATGTATTATACATTTTACACGACTACTACTAATATTTGTAGTAGTAGTACTGCTATCTAAGACCTAAGCTCCAGTTCTTTGTCAGCAGTATGAGCTCTGTTACCTGTGCTCGGTCCAGCAGTCCGTAGACAGCGTGGATGTTGGTGTCCGGTCGTACCATCACAGCGTGAGAGGGGACTCTGGCCAGGTTACAGTATCTGTACTGTGTGACTTCGGCCTTAGTTCCCTGAGAACAGAGCAGCTGGAAATCTTTGGAGTGAAGACCTATTGCCCAGGATTCCTCGTTGTTTCCTGAGTAAAAATACACACAGTCAAATGGTAAAGTTCATAGTTGGCCCCCTGGACATTTTGTTGCCTTCGATGGTAAAGTTCATAGTTGGCCCCCTGGGCATTTTGTCAGATAATGGTTAGTGGGTTTAATTCAAAGTCAGTTTAAGTGACATGCGACAAACATATTCTTTTTTCTATTTTATTATTTTCAAGACAGAGCATAAGGAAAGGCTGCCTCCAGTAGAGGGTGTCCCAGCAGCCTATGCCTGCGACTGGCTCTGGTTATATCTTTTAGCATCTTGGTTCACAAAAGCTTGAAAAGGTTGAAAGCGTCAGTCTCACCATCAGTGTTCTGGAAGACGGTAGAATGTTTGATAAAAGCCACATCTCCATCCCCCTGCGCCAAACACCTGCATGAGACAAAATGCACCGGCATGACTGTCACAGCTTAAATCATTAGGTAACCTGTAGGTGTCCATGGAGGAAAATATCAATGTATCAGTTCTGTCGGGTGTGTCAGAGTTCCATACAGTACCTGAAGGCACCGTCATATCCATCATACAGGTCTTTTCCTTTCTCACATTTGTTGTTTCCTGTGGAATCTCCCACACATTTACTACACAGGCTGGAAGGAAAACCAGGCTGATTGGCACCTGGTACACAACTCTGCTTGAAGAACTCTCCAACAGCTGAGCATCATGGGAAAGAGAGAGGAAAAACAAAAAGGATGTGAGTCCTTTGACTGGGTGATTGCAGACATTTTAGTTAAACATAAGGCGAGGTTATATGATTCAACATGTCTGTTAAATACAAATACAACGATAAAGACAATTCCAAAGAGGAATGGTCCGTTAATCTTCAGCTGACCTGCCACCGTCACCATGACAACAACATCTCACTGACCTTGGGGTATCTGGCACTGCTGCGGGGCAATCAGGCCTCTCTCCATCAGCACTGCTACAGGAATGTTCCAGCCGGCCGTGCGACCATACCCGGTGTGACACGAGCGCTGACCACGAAGGTCGTCAAGATTATGGATATTAGTGCTGCTTTTTTTTACCACCGCAACTGCATAGTATATGGAACCATCACTTTCCACTGGAATAGAAAAAAAAAATTAATAATTGTGGTTCTTTCAAAGACGGCTTCATGCTGACAGGGATTTCTCTGTGTTTGCGGTTGAACCTGTGTAGCTCTCGCCAGTCGCAGGAATTAGACCATAGTCTTTGCCTGCCGTGTAGATGTAACCTCCATCCAGAGTCATGGCATCAGCTTCCTTGTTCTGTACAACAGAAACACAGACTATGTTTGTACATATGGTTTATGCACAAACACCAATATCCTACTGTAGTTTTATAATTACTGGTTATAAAATGCTTGGTGCTGTTTAATAAGGAACTGGTTAATGTTGCACAGCGCTTGTAATGAGATTTTGTGCAATTAAAATACAGAACTCATTTTTAGTAGGACATTAATAACATTGAACACTGACAATACTCAATGACCTCAAACAATGATCCTAGATTGAGAGGATTCTGCAGAAGATAATTTTCTCCTACATGATGTGTGGCTTTGGACAACACCACATGTCCTAGCCATCTCAACAAACAGTAGCTTGTGTGAGTCTATTTCTAACCTTACCAACCTCCTCCACATACTTCAGCACAAGCTTGCTAGCTTTATACCTATCTTGCACCACCTTCACATTCTTTTCCACCACCATTATGATAATAATTATCTACAGTGTTTTAGATGATGCAGCAGGAGGAAACGTGTCACCTTGATCCTCTCCATGCAGTCTGTCGCAGAGTCTCCATAAACACACTTGACATCGGGCGTCAGACCTTTGTTTTTAAAGGCATTAGCCATAGCAACGCATTTGTTCTGTTCACCGCTGGACAACACGCACCATCGCAATGACCCTGGAGGTGGCAGGGAGATATGTGAGGAAAAATATAAGTTAGTCATACATGATAAAAGTGTGGATGGACGGATGGATGAACGGACGGGCAGATGGATGGTTCACCTTCAGGTTTACAGTCCATGGCTCTCAGGGCGTTGTGGTAGTGGCGTCCCATCCACGTCTCAGGGTTGTCCGAACCTGCTTCCAGGAACATGGTGGATGAGTCAGAGAACAGCACAGTTCCTCCTCCATATGATGTTGAGGAAAACACGTTGAAGCCAGATTTTTCCTTATGAAGACAGGTTAAAAAACACACACAAATAAAAAAAAAACTGTGTTAGAACTTGGAGTGAACTCCATCACCTAATCAACAAACACTGGTTTATAATGAAATCCAACACAGAAGAGCGGCGTCTGCTTTAGTAACATCATTTCTATTCCACAGACTGTGGACTTGGCTGTGGCAGAGTTTGAAAGTGTGACCTACCACTCCCTCCGTCAGCATGTTGTAAACCACAGATGGAGTGATGTCACTGCCAACCACGATGCCACGGAATGGAACTCGGACCAGATGGCAGGATTTCCACTGAGATACTGCGGCTCTGGTGCCATCGCGACACAGCAGCTCATAGTTTGATGACATCAGAGGTTTGGCCCATTCTGGGCCATGACCTGTGGGATAGAAACAAAGAGGCTAACATTTCCCACTGTGACTTCTGTCTGTTTTGTCATCCAGGGTAGATTTAAAAACATGAAGAACATTTTCTCGTGACAACTCTCAACTCAATTTCTTTCATAAAATATTATATAGAGTTTATGACCTGTATTTCTTCCAGGTCTCTGATACAGTGTACTCTCTTCTTTAAGCTACACCCTTCAGGGGTCACCATGGCAGCACACTCACATTTACCTCACTCTAACATCTCTGCTATCAATTTTCAAACTTGCCTCTGGAATGTTAGCCTGCTGTCAACTCATCAGAGCCGTCTCTAAACCACACGTCATAGCAGATCTCACTATTCATATAAATGGCCTTTTTTTTATTTGCTGCTACACTATAATGATTCCAAACAAGGACCTTACCGTCAGAGTTCTCCTCCACAGTCGTGTGTTTGATGAAGGCCACATGTCCTGCATCTTCAACCAGACACCTGAAAAAAAAAATCCCAAACATAATTAAAGGAGAAGAAATTAAGAAAGGAGAGGTGACATGGTGAAGTGGTACAGCTCTCTGTGAAGTACCTGAACGCTCCTTCGTAGCTGAAGTATCGCTCCTTGGTGCTCATGTCACATTTGTAGTTTCCTGACCCGTCGCCTTTGCACAGCTCACACAGGGAGGCAGGGTCACCTGCCGCGTTTGCTCCGGGGACACAGCTGGCGTTGAAGAAATTTGCCACGCCTAAATCACACACATGCACAGAAGAGAAAGACTCACATTTTTAGGTAGTGTGAGAAACTAACTCTGGAACAGTGCACCGTGGTTCCTGTAGCAACAACTGCTCCTATGTCCAGCGTCCTCACCCTGCGAGACATCGCAGCCCATCACAGACATCATGCCTTGGTCTATGAAGTATCCCAGAGGCATATTCCAGCCGGCTGTTCGTTCTTTTCCCGTGTGGCAGCTATTCTTTCCTGCTAAGTTGTTGATGTTGATGGCTGAATTCAGCTTCTTCACAACGGCAACTGCATAGTAGGAGGCACCGGTACCTGAGGGGAGGACGGTACAGGTGAGGGACACACCCTCAGCATGACACTGGATGACTGCGTTTTACTGCAGTGAAAATCAGATCAGATTCAATCAAAGTGCTGCTCAGACACGACCAGGTCGTGATAACGTTTCTCATTAAAAATGCAACAAAAGAGCCAAGTTCAGGGTTAGTTCTTCAGCGAAGCATCATTTTAGTGTGCATTTCAAATGTACGGAAAACTTTTTTTTAATCCCACCATCACGCTTAGATTCACTGGCAGCCATTTTGAAAGAAGCAGTTTTTCCCAGGTTGTAGATGTCAGTCGCATACATAGAGAAGGCATCCACTTGTTTGTCCTGCACAGTGAAAACAAACAAAAAGATTTGTTGATATTGAATACGCTAACAGTCTAACCTTTGTTAGGTTAACCTTTGTTTTCAGTTAAAAAAAAAGTTCATTTAAACCTTCAGTTTCTGGACACAGCCCTGCACCGTTAACCCATTGACACAACCGAGAGATGGACGGATTTTGGCTTCAGAGAAAGCCTGTGACATGGCCTGACACTTCCTCTGCTCATTGTCTGAGATAGTGCACCACCTGATCGTGTTCTGGGCAAAAACTGAAAAAAAAAAAAAAAAAAACAGAGAGAGGGACAAAGGTAGGTTGTTAATCTGCAACCACGGTTAAATTTTAATAGAACAAAAAAAAAAAAAACTGTTTCCTTGAACAAAAACACACAAGCACAAATTAAATCAATGTAAAAAAGTCTGTCTAATAATATTCATCATTTTGATGGGACTGATATATATATATATATATATAGATATAGATATAGATATAGATATAGATGTAGATATAGATATAGATATAGATATATATATAATGTGTTTTGATTTCTTTCTTTTTATTTAAGTTATAGGCCTAAAAAAAATTCCTCTGGTGGAAATCAACTTAAATCCAGGGTTTTTACAGAGCTGATAAATAAAAAGGTCCAATAAAGGAACAATGTAGTTTTTTTTGTTCATTTAAATTTTACATTACTTCAGTTAATATAGACAGAAAAGTAATTTTATATAAAAATATCGTAATCTCATATGAATAATTTAAGTTTACTTTTAGATGAATTGATAACAAAAAATGATACCAATATGATAAACATTATAATTTCTTGAAATTATTTCTACTTATTTCAATTCTTACACCACATTAAATTGCTTTTATAAGAAAAAAAATCTAAAAAGTACCTGAACGTGATATACCAGATATTATACAGTATAATAACACCTATTACTGTGTGATATGTGAAAAATCAAGACTTACCTGTGTGTATTAAGAGCAGTAATGCTCCCACTGTCCTGCAAACGGCCATGGCCTCGTTCCTGCGTCTTCTCTCCGTTCAGTGAAATGACCTTCTTTTCCAACTTCACTACTTTTTATGACCAGTCCGAAATCAAAGTCCAACTTTTATCTGAAGTCTCAGCGTAAAGTCCTTCTGTGAAGTTCAATGGAGGTTGCAGTTTTTGTCTTTTACAACCAGATCATGTGGAAAATGTCATTCAGGAATCATAAGACTGAGGGTGGAGGTAACGAGGTCTGTCTTCACAGCGTGTACCTGGTTCCACACGTCTCTGCTGCTGCTTCCTGGCTGGCTGCAGGCCAAAGGCTGCACAGAGACCTCTTTTAGAGTTCAGACCCCACCTCACCTTCCCTCTGCCCCAACAGTGTGGGCCTTTTCCACTGATGACCAATGAGGCTCTAGTCAACACAGTGAGACGGTTGGTCACTGACTCACGTCTGAGGAAGCTGGGTCACACAGTCCAGACAAAGACCCTGTTTACCTGAATCTGTTTAACCAGCATGCACTAGAAAAGAAACTCCACGTTCACAGCCTGATCATGTGATGGTTACAGTTAAATGAGCTCAAGTCTGTGTTCAGAACTGAGACCTGGTCTCTGTAAGGTCAGGGGTTACGAAGTAAAAATTGTAAAAGAAAAAAAAATCTTACGAAGTAAAAATTGTAAAAGAAAAATTTTTTTTTCTTCAGTCTATGAACACCAGCATGCTATAAGAGCTAAAAGTAATTTATTTGAAAATGCTAAAAGTTAGACAGTACCCAATGGGCTAACGATGCAGAGCCGGTACAGAACTGACAAGACTCTAACTCTAGACAAACTCTAAATGAAAAGAACAGCAAAGAAATAACACGTATCTTAAAAGATCTAGAAAACCATAATGTTATCTTTTAATGAAGCTAGTTATTATAAAGCTAACAGCTAGCCTTTTCTGGATAAGTACTGTATGTTCCCAGTCAAGACGAGGTAAACTACTTAACACGTATTCAACAACGTTGATCCACAGACATGAAGTCATGGGCAAATAATAGTAAAATTCAGCTCAGTAACTGAAGTTAAAAATAATAAAAAAAACCCAAAACATTCAGCTCAGTAACTGAAGTTAAAAATAAAAAATAAAAACCAAAACATTTCTATTCTATTCTATAAAAATAACATTTTTATTTTAAAAATGTTAAAAAAAGAAAATCACATAAAATACTCTGTGACTTTGATACTTTAAATATGAAAAGATGGTGGTGAATGGGTTTTGAAGGAGCTCTTAAAGCTGCAGCCAGAAATGTCAACTCTTTGGTTAACTCTCTGACCACTGCAGGTATTTGTGCACAGGAAGGAGATTTGAGGAGGAAAACATTTGGGAAATCATAAGAAGAAAGCCTTATTTTTATCTGCAGACCCACAGAATTCAAAGACTAAGAGGACGGAACAAATCAAATTATTTTAAACCTTGAAAACCTTATCTGAAGACGTATTTCCTAACTTAATCTAAATCTCTTTTACAACAGGTGGAACATTTTCTGTACGGGTGTGCAAACACTGCTTCCATTTATATCTTTTTGTTGTAAAAAAACCCAGGAAATTACTGCAGTTTATTGCCTGCAATTACCGGACTTTACACCCGTCCAGGACAGGTGAACTCACCGGTAACACTGTCAACTTTGAACCTTTGGAATCTTTTCCTTTTATAGCCTCATGTTAAGCTTTAATTGATAGAAAGTTCCAGAGATTTACGTATATAAAAACATTCTATGCCAGGACCTTTGTTCTAAATGGAAAACACATTGGGAAGAATTACTCTGTTATTTAAAATAAATTTATTAAAAATGTTTAAAGGGTAGTCTGTAAACTTGTCATGCGTTTGAATTTTCTCAATACACTTTTCGATTGATACTGGAGGTTTAGAGTGGAGATTTAACAAGGAAACCAAGTTAGAGTTACAATGACAGCCCACAGTAGAGGTGAAGGTGAAGGGAAGAAAATATATATCAATATTTACAGTAATTATATCAATATTCACATTCGTACACATTCCACAACCCAAAAGGAAATCAACATATCTGGGGTTATTGGTGAAAGGATTTCAGAAGATCTCCATAAAGATTTTTATTGATTTATTTTCGTACCAAAATAGGCAGTTAGAGCAGGGATAAATATTATATTATGTTAGAGATTTATATATATATTTATATATAGAATAGATCCATCTCTGTTATAATGTTCTTTGCATCAGTGCTTTACTCTAACAGACAGTGGTGTGTGTGTGTGTGTGTGTGTGTTCCCCCCGCTCCACCTGATGAATGAATATGTCGTAAATGGGAATAATTAAAGTTCATGTCCACATCCTGTGATCGGACGGGAAGGTGTCCAGGACAGTCT